TATGAATCTGTTATCACTCAGCTTTATATACTTTTTCTATGTGTACATCATGTGCATATGCCCCCCCAAACATCCTTTATCAACATTAAAGGGCTGTCTAGTATTCCCTTTGTCTACCTACTCAAAACTAATTCCCTCTTGCTGACATTTAAGTAGATTCCTCTTCACTGTAATGGATAACAACCTAACACCTCTTATTATTTAAAAAAATAGATCCCCAAAAGTGCAATTGTTGGGTAATAGGACACACACAATGCTAAAGTTCTTGCTTACTAATACCAAGCAATTAAGCTCCCCATTAATGCTGAGCTATTTTTTTCAGAAAGGCTATGCCAATAACCACACCCATGAGCAAAATATGTAGCCATCTCACACTGTACACACTCACGTTCAGGATTGCCATTCAAAAATGCCAACTTCATATACTAAAATATATTATGTCTGTCTTTCCTAGGGAACTATAAGGTCCTTGAGAATAACCCATTGTTTGGACAAGGGCCTGACACATAGTAAATGCTCACTTAATATTTGTTGGCTGCATGATGATTGCAAAGGGTCAGTTTGGACTGGGGCTGCTGATCTTTGCCTCTTCCAGGTCTAATGAGAAAATCTGTCATGTCCAAGGCCTCTGGTTCCTCACCTCCCTGCACCCTTCTCCTCCTGTCCCTGCCACAGCTTCTGAAGCTTGGTCAAGGATGACAAACCAACCAGGTTATTTTCCTTAAGACTGAGCTAAGAGACACAGAAATGGAATGTGTTGGTATTAAAATGATCTTCTTGGAAGATCATTTTACAGAGTGGCTGCAAACCACAGCAGCTGAGGTCCCCACAGTCACCCTGGCTCCTGTACTCCTCAGGCTGGGTGCTCCGTCTGCCTGGGAGTCTTGGAGGGCTGACTCCTTTCAAGCAGCTCCCTTTTACCGAGGTGGCTGTGTGCTCCTGTTCTGTTCTTGGAACACAGATGCCTGGTAGAGATGTTCCTTTTGTCATCTTCTCAGGTAACAGTCACAGCTCGTAAGAGGGACCAATCAGATGGAAAACCAGCACAGAAAAAACTGAGCAAGATGCAATTTAACAAGGAGCATAAACATATACAGTTTGGAACTTAGATTAAAAATAAGAAGTCTGAATATGGAACGAGTGCTGTTTTTGTCAAAGAAATCTATCATGGTAAATGTCAGTTTTGTCTGCATTTATGATTTTACCCTTAAGATGTTAAAGTCATCAACATTTTCTGCCTAACTGAATGTTCTCTGATGGCAGGGCTCGTATTTAATTCTCCCGTGTCTCTCCAGAGCCAAGCACAATGCCTGGTCCGAGGCAGTACTTCACGAATGAGTGCAAAATAAAGGTTGAAAACTAAAACATAAAAGAGTAGCAAGGCTTCTATAGGCCTGCAGTTTTCAAAATCCCCAAGTTTTGCCTTGCTTCTTTCAAAGATGGTATTGAAGGATTGATACTCTCTTCACTGAGTTCTACTTAATCCAAGATTTGATTCACCTAATCCCATACTCCTCATTCCTTCGCTAAAATGTCCAGATCAATGCCCTCAGCATGCAAACGGTCAGTTAGCTGGTACTGTAGTTTACCAGGTACTTCTGTTCATACCAGCTAGGTTGTATATTTACCAAGAGATCATCTGTGTTTGTTCCCAAACCTGTTTATGTCAGTTGTATTCATTCTTGTACTTATGTAATCTAATTACTTATTACGTAAATTAATGAAATATCTGTGCATAAGGAAAGAGCTTCTGTTCCTATAAGTTGAGTGTTTTGGAAAGACTTGATGAAGATGACAACATTAAAATAACTACTGTCAAATCAGGGAGGACAAGACAACTATAAATGACTACAGTTGTGTGTGGGGAACATACAGGTCTGAGAGGTTTATGTAACTTATGAGAGATTTTACGTAACTATATACTGTGAGTATATAAATTCTTACAAAGAGGTTGAATCTAGAAATTATGGAGGATCCAATATGGGTGCCATTCATGCAAGTAAAATGATGCAGAATTATAATATATGTATCTATTAATAACTTAAACAGGAATGTCATGAAATAGTACCTGTGCTTCTTCTATGTAATGCACTCTGAAGATTGATCTCTATTCTAAGCAATTCAATTTTTTTTAATGTTGATCATGCCCCACTAATGTGATCTGCTAACTCATTTTGAAAAGATATTGTCTTAATCCCACGCCTTCATTTTGTTAATGAGGAACAGATTTGGGAAGATTTAAGGGCCCTATGAAGATCTCTCAGCCAGTGAGTCAGAATTACAGTCTTCCTTTCCATAATCTGTGTTCTGCCTCTGTTATACCCTGAGCAGCCCTTGCTCAAAAAGCAACCGACCCAGCACAAGTTCCTTTGTGAAAAGTATAAGGTGGAATGAGGAAGTAGATGACAAGGATACACCTGCAGAGGCAAGGAAGAACCTCTCATTCTGTCCCCATGCTCCTCCACGCAGTTCGAAGGCAAGTACACACAGGTGTATGCGGTTTATCCCAAACTAAGACATACCAAGTCTCTTGTGCTATAGACATATTTGGAGCAGGTGAACCACGTACCTGGGCTGAACACGTGAGCTTTCTAATTTTAGAGTGACTGCAGTTCCACATGGGGAAGCTCTAGATGATCAATTGGGAAGGAGTTTGCAGTTCCGCAAAGCTTTTGTAAAGATGAGATGAGCGAGAAGCGGATTCCTTGCTTTTTGGCTGACCCATGTTCTACATGTTTCACAAACAAGTAAAAGCCTCAAAAAACTTTCCTATGGTCTGACCTGCCCTCTGTCTGTGCATCCCAGCCCAAACTTACCACCTCAACATATTTAAGCACAAGGTTCCCACTGAGATCTTCCTACCATCTCCTCAACAAGCTAATGATACTAACATTCCTCATGAATAACCCCATTGAATCATCCTTGTTCGTTCGTCACTCTGAAAAGTCTCCAGATACTAAAGGAAGCAAGCCCTCAAAGCACCCTGATTCTAGGTGGACATCATTAGACACAGGCAAGAGGCAGGGGTAGAAGTTCAGAAGTCTAAAGAGCTACCCCAAGCCTGCAGGTCATGCCAGACAGATAGGAGAGGAAGGTCTACAGCCTGGCTCGCAGGCACCTGACCAAAGCCCTCACCACACCCTTTTGGTCATTACGGTGAGACTCATGAAAATATGAGAACCAGATGGGCAGCCTGAGAACTGTGCAACATTTCTGAGGGTTAAGCAAGCAGCCACCCAGCAACTTAGCTAGGGTGCATTCTGTCCCTTTTAAGGGGTATTAAAAAGTCCCTTCTGAAGCTAGGTCATAACTCCTTCCTTGGGAGGGTGTGACAGACGTTCTAAACTGTGGATGCCGCCACCTTCTGCCTGCCTCCAGCTAGTATTTCTGTGTTTTACAAACTGACAACCAACCAGATAAAAATGTTCCATCCCAAGCTTCAGACTACTGATTTCACTCTGGTAGCAGTTATTTTCTAAATCACACATTAAGTAGTTAGGCAAGGTTGTGCCTATCATTACGATATTTGGGTTCTCGTGTTATCTATCCATCTGTGAGATGGGCTTCTGAAGGGCAAGGAAGAGAAGACCTTGATTCTAGCACTTAAAGTCTTAGACTCTACGTATGAAATAGCATCTCATTCCAAGAGAATAAAATACAGTCATTACTTGGTATCCCTGTGGGACTGGTTTTAGGATCCTCCCCCTTTCATGTCCAGCCCCAAAACATGGCATGGAGGAAGAGGTGTTTTTTTCTGGGTCATTGTGGATCACCAAGTGGCTTGGGTACCTTTAAGGTTCAAATGCATCAAGGATAACAGAGTCAATGGAGAACGTTGGGGCTACAGTAGCAGTTGTACCAAACAGGGTAGAAGTCATACTGGTATCACCTCTGCTGACTTCGGAGGGAAAGGTAGGGAAGAGTGAAGAGCAGAGTACCAGGGAAACTATGTTGTTGGTGAGAGAATTTATGAACACATGGAAACCTTCCCATTTCTGCAGGGACTTCCCTGAAATTACTAGGGAGAAATAGCAGTAGCAGATGGGAACAGAAGCCAGTGAAACACACTTCATATCAACAAGGGAGTAGCAAGTGTCCTACTCACACATGTGAGGATAAATCAACACAGTCCACCTAGAAAGCTATTGGGCAGTGTGTGCAAAGATTATAAATGCATTTATTCCTACCCTTGGAGATATATATATATATATATATATCTCCTGAGAAAGAGTCCAAAAGAGGAAAAATTTCCAGGCAGCAAGAGGTGGCATCAGAACTTAAGAAACTGGCGACACCATAAATATCCCTTGGGGAATGCTTATTTAAATCCCACATGCCCATTTTAACAGAACACTGTGACAGTTTAAAAGGACTGATTTCAGGATTTCCCAGTAACATAGAAAAATGCACAACATCAAGTTTAAAACAGTTTCTTCCCCAGGACTAATCATATTAAAACATTAATGCACATGATCAAAGGCAACGCACTAGGTGCCAATGTAACCGTGGTCACTTCCTGCAGCGTGGGGACGCTGAGGGGCTTGCTACCTGCATTTCCCCTGCTCTCCACACTGCTGATCTAGGATGTTCTTAAATAAAAAAGGAAACTATTATCACAAATATCCAAACACGAACCACAACATCACTAAGCAGAGATCACCAGGCAGAGGCAGAGAAGGGGATTCAGAAATCTGATCATTCTGTAAGCAGGAAAAGTGTGGATGTTCTGAGCTCTCGGGTCCTGCAAGCCCTGTTCTGCAGCACACCTGCGATGCTAGCTGGGAGTGAACCTGCTCTCAGGCCCACAGTTAAGAGCTCTCCATGAGCTCCCATCTGCCTATGAAGAGAGAATGGAGAGGACAGCACTCCCTCTCAGGGACAAGCAGGTGCGTGCGGCAGGAGGCCCAGGGAGGAAGCTCTTCAGGAGAGAGCTCAGACCCCGCAGTAGCCAGGATCCATATACCACTGCTCACTCCCACCCCCAGGGGGGCTGTACTCACCACTCAGGGGGGACGTGCTGTTTTCCAGAGCTTGGCACACAGCCAACACGATACCTGTAGGGAGAAGCAGAGAGAAAAGATAAGCATCTACTCAGCAAATGGCGTCCTCAGAGGATTGGAGGGCAAGCCCTCTGAAAGGCAAAGACTTAGTGGTTTTACAAAGTGGCCAAAAGACAGGCCTGGTCACCTCATTTGTGGGGCTCAAAGCAAAATAACAACATGGGCCTCCTTGTTTGCAGGAAGAAAATGCTCATAGAAGACACTAAAATATCAGTGGTTTCCTTCCTGCCAGTCTCTCTCTCCACCTGTCATGGTGTTTTATAGTTTTAAAAATCTGTTTTTATAGTAGTAAAACATGCATAACATATTTACCATTTTAACCACTTTTCCGTGTACACTGTACGGACATTGAGTTCCTTCACACTTTGGTGCTCGTCAAGGTGATTTTGTTTGCTGAGTATGTCACTACTCTCCTTACAGGAGAGCAGGGTGAGTGCAGCCCCTCCTGGGAACACAGGACCCCAGTGACAAAGTGAGCAAGGGACCCACTAGCTGCTGGCTTTTTCACTCTGACAGCAGTGGTCTGAGGTGCTATAACCCAGCTGGGGTGGGGAAGTCCACTCAGGCGTCTCTTCTTTCCAGGGACTGGCTGCCCCAAGCCAAGGTGGATGGGTGACCTCTAAGAGGACCGTACTTTCCATGCCAGGATGTGGTAGGTACCTGAATCAGGGGAAGTGGGGAGGCCTGCCCTTCTCTAACTGTCTACTGATATGCTATGGAGTTGCCTGCCTAGGATGGTGACAGCTGTCACCGTGTACTAACCCGGGATGCCAAAGGTACACGTACCTAATCCCAACATTTTTAGTGTCCAGGCTCCACCAGAGGCAGAGTGTGGCAGGGACAATGACCACCGGATGAGACGGGAGATTGTGGTAGGCAGCACCCTGGGAACCAAGGCTCTAAGCCTCTAGGGCACGTTCTATTGTCTTATTGGACTTATAAGACACAGATCCTAAGATAAAACCATAAGAATTTTAAGACTACAACTACAGAGTATTACATCTCAAGCTCAGGGCCATTACAAGTGTGACCTCTGGGCCTTTGTGTGACCCTCAAAACCGCTCTGGCCAACAGATGACCTTCTGTGCCCTCATGATATAGTACTAGAAGTTTTGGGAAGCAGAGCAGCAAAATTCCAGCAAAGAAGGAAACTCTCCTGAGTTTTGCAATCAGCACAAATTAACTTCTCAAAAGTGAAATGCAGGGAAATGGCCCAGTGACCGGCCATGCAGAGGGGCTGGGCCTCAGGCAGGTTAGTCCCAAAGGCAGATGCATCAAGTCAGCACAGAAAACAAAAGTCTAGCCTGCTACTTCTCATTGTGGGACCCATGCATCCCCTGCCCAGCGGGCTACACAGGGCTGCGGGTCCCTTTTTACTTAGGGTGGGAACACAGGGGTCTTAATTCTCAGAAACAAACACATTTAGAACAGATAGAGCAATCGCACAACTTTGCTTCTGGCCTTTGATATGAGAAACATCATAAGAACTTCTGACTCTTTTTACTGGGGCCTCGCATGGCTTCCGTGATACTCCTACAGAGTTCTGCACAAGATATTTGGGCTGCAGTTGGGGTCAGGGCAAGGAGATTGGGTGATGTACATAAAGTCACTTATATCTTCTCTGTGCCATTTGTGGCCCCACAGATGCTAATTTTGGGAGCAAGCCTCTTAAGACTGCACAGGCACATTTCAGAGGGTGAGTGTAATGCGCACAGCAAGTGTTCAAGTGAGACATTCCTGCTGTGGCCAGGAAAAGTCTCAGTGATCACACAGTTTAAGCTGGGGAGTAGTCACATTCTGACTTTGCTGGCACTGCCACAAACCACTCTGGGCTGAAGTCAGCCAGTGACCTGCAATCATGTCAATGGATGATATGGGAGATGCTTTACATACCTCTAAGGGTGAGCATGACTGGCCTGCTATGCACTGCGCCTGAACTAATGAATGATCTTCACGCCTCCTTCCCTCCCCATATCCCATCAGTCGAGGTAAACACATCACAGTTCCCAGGCCCCACAACAGCCTCTGGAGCACATACAACACCAGGAAAAGGCGGGCATGAGCTGAGACCCTTCCCCCAGCCTTGGGCAAATTGCTTTGTCCCTTGCGTTCCTCACCTATAAGCTACACGCTGCCAAGCTCACACAGGTGTTTCAGGAATTAGTGTCCGCAAACCACTGTGTTCTGCAGATGAAAGGTGCTGCATTTTTAGTCATAATTTGAGTAGCACAAAAGAATAATTCCTTTCCATACCCTCACAGTCCCATGGAAAAGAGCTTCTTGACGCTGGCCTTGCTTTGCAATCCTGGTTTGTGACCAACCTTGGCTGAGGGGGCCAGGTAATGGGAGGTGAGGCCTCTGCTTGCTCTTTACCACTGAGTGAGCTCCCTACCGGGGCCCTGGACCAGGACGATGGGGCTCAGAAGGGGTGGAAGGTCTCCTCTACTCTCTGGTGGGCGGGTACCACTGATTGGGTACCTATAGGCTCAGGCCTAGCACTAGGGTTTTGCATATGTTACCTTACTTTGTCCTCATAGCAACACAGGCACCTCCCTGCCTTCCAGTCCAGCTGGTGGGAATACTCGGTTGTGTAGATGAGAAAACTGAGATTTAGAGAGACTAAGAAATTTGTCCATTCTCCTACAGGCAAACTCAGACTCAAGCCTGTACAATCGCTGTGCCTAGAAGAGTGTTTCAGTGTTTAATCCTCCACCATACCCCATCAGGAAGCAGTGGCAGTTAGGATCCCCTAGAGGGAAACAGGAAAGAACGCAAGAGTCCAGCTCCAGGCCAGCTGCCGAATGCAGTGGCTCAGGGAGAGACACAGCTCAGGCACAGGCTTGGTGGCGGGAGCCACAGGTTCCTCTCATCTGAGTTTCAGAGCTGTTCTGCACGGGCCCGCGAGGTGGGAAGGCAGGCTCCAGGGCCACTCAGCCCAAGAGTCACCCTCCGGGACAGGAATCCCTTTCAGGCTGTTTCTGCCAACATCCCATTTTGTCAAATAGCTCCAAAATGGGAAATCCCAAGACTGTGAACTTCAAAAGGAAAAAGAAAAGAAGGGGTAGTGTTATGGGGAAAACCACACATAACGGAAGAAAAACCGTATGAAACCTGATCTCCACCCCTAAAACAGACAGGATCCAGGCCTGCCTTTAAGGCAAGACAAGGGTTGCTATGCTTCTAATTTAGCTGTTTGGGGCTCAGACAAAAGACTGCAACAGAAACAATGCAGAAAGAGAGGGCAGCTGGTTCATCTGGGCGTTCACAGAAGTGGAGTCACTTTGAAATTCATCCACGGATGTGCCAGTGGGGATGCTGTTGAGAGCTGCGGGGCACCCCTGTCCCCCGACCAGGGCACTCTCATTCTAGCCTCTTGCTCCTGCATGAAGCAATTCCGGACAAGGACTCAGGCTGTGCCTTCATTGTGGGATATTCTATCCATCATCCATTACTTGACCAACCCTTCTTCTGTGGGCACTCAGTTGCAGGGCCCAGACCTGGCAGTATCACCCTCAGGCCCAGGGCCAGCCTGTGTCTAGCTCTGGCCTCTGTTGCAGCCAGTATTTTGCTCTCAGGCTCCTGCCTATCCCAATGGATGGGTCAGTGGTTCCCTCTAGACCAGTGGTGGCGAACCTATGGCACACGTGCTACACTTCACTGTTTGTTAGCACTGAAAGCTCTAAAAGGTTTGCCATCACTCTCTAGACCATCCAGCTTCACGTCTTATTGTTTGGACCCCTAAGGCAGGCTTCTAGGGTGAAGAGTGACGTTCTGGTGCAGAGAAGATGTGGGGAAGTTGGAGGGAGGTGAAGGAAGCTCTGGGTTCCCAGGGGTGGTGAGGACCCCACTTTGGGTGAAGACTGAGGTGCCGTGGGAGGTGGGAGAGCTGGGCTAGAGGGTAAGGCAGAAGGGAGTGTTCAGGAGGTGCAAGGTTTCCCTTCCCTCCCTACCATGCTTGGGCTCAAGAGGAACAGAGCCAGGAGCCTGGGAAGTAGTGGGTGGTACCTAGAGGATAGGATCTTACAGCCTTGCACAAGGTCTGCAGGGGCACCCAGACAGGCACAAAAACATATACAAATGGGTCACACAGAACCCGGGCCTGGCAGTATAGGTTCATGGCATCTTCCCTTAGAAAATATATAATTGCACTTAAATTTTATCTGAACATAGCAGGATTTTCCCTGCCTACCAAAAATTGCCCAGTTGCACAATTTCATCAATACTCTTAAATCTAAGAGGTTGATAGCTGGGTGAAGATGCCTTGAGGGTGAGAATTAAAAAGAAAGAAAAGGTGTAGATATGAACAGTGTAGATATGGACGAAGAGGGGAGCTGTGGGACAGGGCATCAGAGACCATCCATACATAGCATATTAGGGCACAGGCAGCCATGTGGCATCCCCATTGGAAAGCTGTGCTTTCTCTCCTGGGAAGAGGTACCCGCTCACTGTTACCAGCAACGCCAGTACACAGCAGAGGACATCAGGTGAAGCTGCAGAGGAATCTGTGGAAGAACTGGCCAAACAGGCTTGGGAGAACTCAGGATGATAAAAGAGAGTTTAGAAATATGTGACAGGGGAATGAATCACCTTGGGCAGATGGGCCCATGGGACAGAGGGCTCTTTCTGTCACCATCCCAACCTCACAGATTGGTCCTTGCAATCCAAGCAGAGTCAAACGGAGAGATTAAAGGGCTAGCACGTTTTCTCAGGTGGCAGGTACTAACACACGGAGCAAAGATACCAACGGTGCAGGGTGGGAGCCACTGTTAGTTGGGCACAGTGCCTGCCCAGTCAGTGAGCACATGATGCCCACACTCAAACACAGCCAGCACACAAGCTAACCAGGAGGGATTTTTATGCCTGGGGCAGGGACAGACTGGAGGGAGGAGGGAGACTCCTGAGTTCCCACCTCGTATGTGTGAGTTATGCGATTATTATTGTGACTGATGTCATGATTAATAATAGCAGCTGCAACAATTGTGTGAGCGCTTACT